GTGGTCGAGACAACTCCTTGTGCAGCACGTTTCTGTAGGTGGTTTAAATGCACAGGATCCTCAGGTCTTTTTAACGGCCATCCACGCCAAGTGGATTTTCAAACTTGTTGATCCAAGACATATTGGCTCTTGGAAGTCTTTGCCTTTCCACTTTCTTAGAAACTTTGTAAAAGGCCTTGGAGACTCTGTTTTTATAGTCGATCCTTCCATTTTGTCCCAAAAAATCTCCTTTCCCTCTAGATGGCACGCCTATTTGCAAGCGTGGTTTGCTAGCGGCCTCATCGTCGCCCCTCCTGCCAAAGATTATGAATGCATTTTGAACGAGCCTATTTGGTTTAATCGGTTTTTATATCTTCCGTCCGATACCAAACGCGGAAGGTTGCTAAATAAAAACATGGAGGAACGACTAATCAACAGGGGTTTCACTCACTTAAACCACTTCCTTTCTCCTTCCGGGAATGCAGGTAGCGCCACTTACCCTTGGATGTCATTAGAAGAGGCGCGCTTCCAAACCGGGTCGCAGGTGCTTGGAAATGCTATTTACTCTCTTATTGAGCTCATCCCAAATGAGTGGTCGACGATTGTGAAAATGAAAACCCGCGAGCCCTTTCAACAAAATGATTGGGCTATCGCGCGGTCTGAATCTAACATCACACCATGGAATGTTTATAAAGTTATTGCTATTGTACCTAATAAAGTAGAATGTCGACAATTTCGAATTGCTATTAGGAATGATGGTCCATTCGCATTACAAGAAATGAATACAACAGTGTCGCTTCCGAAGGCTTCTCTTGTCAAAGCATGCGTGCGACATGATCATGGATCAAATATTCTGTATTATTCGGGCAATTATGTAAGGTCGAAGCTGCTCCTTTCAAGATGCCAATGGCTCTGCGACGGGTCTACCCTCTCTTTTAGTGATTTTACGGTTAAAACAATATATAAATCGATTATCTCATCATCACAATATAAAATGTCGCCGATCGAATGATGGGAGAAAGCCCTTGGGATTTCTATCAGTACAACATGGGCAGAAATGGTAAAGTACGTTCATGATCCAATTTTAAACAACAAGACCAAATAGAAATTGTACAAAATACTCACGCGCGCTTTCCCGGTAGCTTGCAAATTTGCTAATCAAGCTGACAAGGACTGTGCTTTCTGCAGCTTATTAGAAGATGAGATGCATTGTTTTGTCCAATGCAATAGATTATCGCCTATTTGGGCTTGGGTAAAACATGTTTTATCCCACGGTTGTCCATGGCTAACCTCATTCACAGAGATCGATACTTTATTCGGTTACCCCCTACAAGCATCGTGCCCTAGAAAATCGCTACAAATTTGGCGAGTTTTTCATGCCGAAACCATTCGCATAATATGGTACTCGAGATGCCGCAAGCTTTTCGATAATGAAGAATTGT